AGAAGAATAAGGTAGGTCTGAGAAAAGTAAGATCACAAACATCTTAGAACCTGGATCAGCACTCTGTTTTACTCCCACCAAAAAGTAAATTCACATTCACTGTTCTCTAGGGTTGATGTTGTAAATGTGAAGTTTATACAGGGATGAGAAAGAGTTTACAAACGAAAGATTCCACATACCACCACCCCCATCTTAATCCACTTAAGGGCATTGAGGATAAACACCAGTATCTCTTTTCTTTGAGACCTTTGTGGATTGACGGCCTATTGAGGCTGATCTGTGGAGTTGCCCTTCTGGGTATGATGAGCACTAACAGATTATTAAAGAAAGTTAGTCTTAAACTATTTTCTCTTTATTCAAGTATACCCAAATTAGCAGTAAGTATTTTTAGTCTGTTAATAAGTAAATAAAAAATAATACATACTTGAGAGCAAGGACTATTAGATTTATTTTCCTACTAAACTTCTTAGCCTATATCATGAATAATGGATAGCCCAAAATATAAAAGTGAAATACTGCCCCAGCACTGCATAAAAATTACTATATTTTTAAGCAGTTTCAAAGATAGTGGAGACCAGCAACAACAGATTTTAAAGTTCTTTTAAATCTTTTTTCCGTCTGACCCTCTCTGAGGTAAGAGGTTAAAGGACAAGTGAAAGAGAAGCAAAGGTCCGACCCCTTTCAGTGACTTGAGGTTCTTGTTGATGAAATTGTCCCAGTTAGGGCAGTCCAGTGAGCTGGGTGGGTTGGTTTTAGCAAAACCTGGGCCAGAGACATCTTCATCGTAACACTTCCACAGCAAAAATGCAGGGGGCAAAGAAAATACCCCATGATAAAATTCTAATGAGAGAACCATCAATAAAAAATTGAAAATTTTTGATATATTTATGGGAAAAAATGCAAACGATGATCTCTTAACACCACATGCAGAAATTCAAAAAACTTGTCGTGTGAGCCCTGAGGTACCTCTCCAGAACATTCTCCCGGTCATTTGTGCAAAATGTGAAGTCAGCCCAGAGCATGTACTTCTCCTCCAGGATAACATTTCTGGGGAGGAGCTGGAACTTTCCAAGTCCCTGAATGAGCTGGGAATCAAGGAGCTCTATGCATGGGACAATAAACGAGGTGAGACTGTATTGCACTCTATGTCTTGTCTCTTCAGAGCACAGAGTGGAAACGTACCAATGAGACCTGTTAATTTTCCTCCCAGCCCTCGAACATGCTGGAAGAGATGAATAGACTGAACTTCCAGGCAATTCAGTTTGTTACAAGTAAAGTTGAAGTGGACAAAAAAATGAACTTGTTTTAATTTCTCTTCAATATAAATACACCCTTATCACTCCAGACCTGTATCTCTTACCCATCTGTACCTCTTTGTAAAAATAATTAAATTAATTAAAGAGAGAGATGGTGAGAAAAAAAAAAGTCCAAATGGATTGTTATCTTCTTGTGAAAATTTAAATCATAAAAATATAAACCATTTTCTTGTCCTTAGGACTAGGCATACATACATGTGTTGGGGGGGATGCAATTCAAGTCATAACATGAAGCAACTGAAAAAATTACACAGTGCTCGTGGGAATATAACTCAGTCCAAACTCATAAACAGTTGGCTGAAGTCAAGCATAAAAGACGAGGGAAGGTCCACTCCTAACTATATACATAACAGAAATGTGTACATTTGTACCAAGATTTTCATACTGGTTTTATTCATAATGGCTCCAAACCCAAATGTCTATCAACAGTTGTTGAGTGTTGTCAAGTCCAGTATGACTCATAGCAACAGCAACTCATTGCATTTTTGCATTTGCTGAGGTGATGGGACTGATGGGGATGGGGTGCACGGAGCCTGCTGGGGCTCTGGAAATGTCCTGTACCTTGAACTGATGTGGTGGCTAAAGAGTATCTGCAGCTTTTTTTTTACAGCTACAACTGCTTCCAGGATATAGGAACAACATGTACAAACAAAAAGCAAAGAGAAAACGAAAAACCTGGGCCTATGCGGCATCACAAGATCTTGAATCCATGACAAAGCTCGAGTAGAGGAGCCCTTAGAGCTGTTGATGAGACTAGGATCCACAGCCACCAGGCACTTCCTTCTGGGGTAACAGGGCCCGAGAAATCTGTAAATCTTTATGGGAGATGATGTCACATCTTTCTCCTGAGGAACTGCTAGTATATATGAATAGATAGGTTAGACACACATAACATATTGCCCTCTGCTGTCAGGGATCTCTCTAAAATACTAAAGAGCAATAATGTCAATATGAAGACTAAGGTGCACCTAATTCAGGCTGTGATCTTTTCAGTCACTTGCTCTGTATGTGAGAGCTGGACAATGAAAAAGGATGACAGAGAAAGAATTGATGCCTTTGAACTGTGATGCTGAGGAAGAGGACCGAATATCCATGCCATGGACTGCCAAAAGAACAAACAGATACGTCTCGAAAAAGGTGCAGTCAGTGTGCCTCATGGAGGCAGAGGATAAAGCTTCATCTCACATGCTTTAAACGTATTGCTCTGAACCTTACTCTATCCTGAGCCAACTTCACCATCTCTGACACATCTCCTCCCACTGCCACAGTCACTGAGCCAGTCCATCTCATCTGGGGTCTTCCTCTCCTGCACTGTTCTTCCACCCTCCCAAGCTTGACATCCTCCAATGACTGGTCGCTCCTGGTAACACGCCCAAAGTATGTGAGATGGAGCTTCAAAATCCTCCCATGAAGCAACCTGATTTCATCCTCTCCAGGACAGACTTACTTGTTCTTTTGGCAGTCCAGGGTACGTTCAGTACTTTTCTCCAGCACCAAAATTCAAAGGCATTATTGATTCATCTTCTGTCATCCTATTAATTATCCTGCTCTCAGATGTATAGAAGCAATTGAGAAGATGACAGCCTGGGTCAGGTGCACCTTAGTCTCTAGAGTGACATGACATCATCACTCCTTAGCACTCTGTAGGGATCCTTTATAGCAGATTTTCCCAATAAACTTGGCTTTTGGTTTCATGACTCAAGTGCCAAGGGTGTTGGTTATAGATCCAAGCAAGGTTAAATCATTAACCACCTCAATCTTCTCTCCATCTATAATGATGTTGTCTTTTGGCCCTGTTGTAAGGATTTTTGTTTCCTTGAGTTTGAGATGCAAGTCGTATTGAAGGCTGTAGTCCTTGACACTCTGCAGCTAATGCTTCAGGCCTTCTTCAATCTCAGTAAACAAGGTTGTGTCATCTACATAACTCAAGTTGTTGATTAGTCTACTACCAATCCTCATGACAAATTCTTCTTCATAAAGTCCAGCTTCCCAAATGATCTGTTCAGCATAGAGAAAGGATTGCATCCTTTCTTGGAAAAGGATGCAATTCTTTCTTGCCTTTGAACTATGCAGTGTTCCTATGCTCTCTTCACCCAACAGCCTCTTGGTCTAGGTCTCAATCTTGCATGAGCACAATCAATTCTCCTGGGATTCCAGTTCTTTTCAATGTTAGCTACAATTTGTTGTGATCCACACAGTCCAAAGCCTTTGCATAGTCAATAAAATACAAATAGGCAGCCTTCTGGGACTCTTCTTTCAGTCAAGATCCATCTGACATCGCCATTTAGAACTATCTAATTTTGCAAGGACTGGCTATTATGATTTTCACAGCATAGCTGAAAGGCTCAAGTGCTGGAGTCAGCACATACTAGCCTTGAAGAGACAAAGAGTTATATTTACA